CTATAATCAGCAGCCTCTGCACACAGAATATCAAATCAGTGATTACAAAATAACAGAGCTTTCAGATTTAAGGGGAACACTCTGGGTAAGCATCCAGACCTTAGAAGGTCCTTAATAATTCATTGCGAGAGCAGTTGTGGAAATGGGGCCATTTGCATCGCCAGCCAGCCTTTATAATTCGGGCTTCTAAGCAGGCACATGTTCCACATCTCTCCCTGCATGCATAGGGCCTGGTTCTCCTGTCATTCACAGCCCTCAAATTCCCCTTTGAGTGTAATTTAAATAACAGAGTTGTATACTTCTTTTCTGTCATGGAAATTATCATTGTCATCTTGATGATCCTACCCATCTTATGGTATCTCAAAAGAAACAGGGGGTGCAATGTTGGGGGTAAGGGGGTGATAGTTTTAAAAGAATAAAAGGCATCTCACTTATGCAGCTCCATGTTCCAGGATGAGAAGGTATAACGGCATTCAGCATTAATATATTCACTTAATCAGATCATGGATTTTCAGGAGCTATTTTAATACTGAGTGGAATTCTCTCAGGAGGATTTTAATTAGCACCCTCCCATTTCCATTCTCACCTTCTTGTTCCACTACCTTTCCAGGACATATTTGGTGCCAGGTATAAATCAATACAGATACAGATATAAATGTAGACATAGATATAGTTACAGATATGGAAATAGATATCGATGCCGATATAGACACAGATTAGATGTAGGTGTAAATGTAAAGATGATGTAGATATCCAAGTATTATCGCATCTGAAGACTTCTCTGACCATCCCAACACTTCCTCCTCTCTCCAGATATACCTGAGCACTTTTAGTCATCTGAGAAAAATTCAACATACCCTAAAAGACTCAAGCTAAGGAAAATGTCCCGTCTCTCATGCATGGCTGGTGAGTGCCAGCAATTCCACTGCTAGAGAGACACCCAACAGTAACAGGCGTCTTTTCCACATAAAGACATGTGCACAAAAGTATTTGCCGAATCACTAATCATTATAGCCAAGAACTAAAGATAACCAAATGCTCATCAACAGAGAGGGGGTAAATACAGTAATCTATTTTCATACTCAGAAGTATTTCAAGGCAGTGAAAAGACAAGAACTACTGGATGAACCTAGAATTACTGGGAAAAGGACATGGATAAATCTCATGGAGTTACATTGAACCAGGTACCAACACTACATACTGTATGGCTCCTTTCATATGAAGTTGAAGGGCCAGCAAAACTAGTCCATGCTGTGGGGGCTGGAATAGTCAATAGTTCAGCAATTTTGGGATTGCATGGCAGTGGACACTGGACAGATTTCTGGGTTGATGAAAACGTGCTCTATCTGAATCTGGGTGATATTTACAGAAGGGCGTATATGGAAAATTCCACCTAGATGTACACTCAGGATTCCTGCGTTATATTGTATATGTGGCACCTCAATCAAAAAGTTTTTAAAAAGAAAATACTGTTTCAAATTCCTAAAAAGGAGAGGTGAACATGAAGAAGGTAGATTCAATAAACTACAGATTGTTGGATTTTATGCTGGGTCCCAGCAGAATTCTTGAATTACGTTGTAACGAGTTTCTGAGGACTTTGGACTGTTTCTGTATTCACTTGGAGGAAGTCACACCCAGCTATTCTGCTTCGTGATACGTTTAGTAGACTACTTGCTTGAGTCCATGTCATAAAATGATGGTTAATGTTGTATGTCAACTTGCCTGGGCCACGAGGTGCTGAGATCATTAGTCAAACATTTATTCTCGGTATCTCTAGGAGAATGTTCTCGGATGAGATGAACATTTAAATTGGTGAACTGAGTAGACCATATTTCCCTCCCTAATGTGGGTCGGCCTCATCCAGTCCATTGAAGAACTGAGGGTCAGCAAAAAGGCCGACCCTCCCCCGAGGAAAAAGTAATTCTTCTTGCCTTCAGACTCAAACTGAAACATCAGCTCTTCCTGGGGCTTGAGCCTGAGGGCCTTCAGACTAGAACTTACACCATTGGCTCAACTAGTTCTCCAGTTTGCCTGGTCATCCTGCAGATCTAGGCAGTGACCAGTCTTCATAATTGTGTGAGCAAATTCCTTATAATTAATATCTTTTTATCTTTCTATCTATCTATCTATCTATCATCTGTCTATCATCATCTATCATCATCATCATCTGTCTATTTATCATCATCATCATCTATCTATCATCATCATCATTTATCTATCATCTATCTCATCTATCTATCTCTCTCTCTATACATAAATACATCCTATTGGTTTGGTTTCTCTGGAGAACCCTGATTAACACACACGCACAAATGAAAATGAATTTTAGCCACAACCAAATCTCTCCTAACATCTTAAGGACAGGGTGAAGCAATATACCCTGAGGAATCCGATTGGATGTGCCACTCCAAGGCGTTATTAATCACCAAACATGAAGAGTCTTGTTCAATGTGTCAATGGGAGACATTTTCTAATGAGAGGTTTCAGATTTCTACTCTCATTTATACTTACTCAAACTTTTATCTCCACTTGTAAGAACATGTAAAGGTAACTTACCAGGTTTCCTTTTTTTTTTTCCCACAAAGATGCTGTAGTTCATATCAAAATCAAAATTAAAAGAATATGGATATGGTTTTTTAAGTTAAAATCTTTCACATGTTCCAAAATTCATAGACAAAGAAAGATGGAGATGGCTAGCACATAAAAAATATTTGCATGAAGAAAATCTAGAGCTTTTTGTATATTCAGTATTAGCCACTTATGAGTCAGCTGCCACAAGATGGGATGAAACCCTGGGCTACATTAAAAGAAGATAGTAATCAGGAAGAAAGAGTCCCATTGTATTTTGGACACTGTGTTCCCTTTAGGCTTCATGTTTTAGGAGAAAACCTGATGAACTAGAGAGCTCCAGAGAAGAACATTCAAGATTTCAAAGATCTGATAACCATGGGAGTTGATGGTCACCAAATTGATGCTTACAGATCAAATAGAGTCCCTTTTCCAAAATTGCACGAGTTGAAACTCTATGCCAACGCTCATGCTGGAACTAGTAATTAGATATATAATGATTCTCATGGAAAGATCCAGAAAGTCTAACATGGACCCAAGGAGGATAGTACAGGAAACAAGTTGTGGCAAAACTGAAGGAAAGACAGTCTTAATCATTAGAACCATTCAAAGCAGATCAGGAGAGTTTGCTGGAAGTTTTCAAACCAAAGCAGAAGATCCACTTGGAAGAAATATTACAAAAATTGACCCAAGTACCACTAGTATCCCAAATCTAAGAATCTGTGATTGGAAGGTGTGAGATTTAAGTTCTTTCTCCTCCTAGATCCAATGCTTCCCAAGAGTGAACCGCAACCTCCTTGCAAACTCCTCTAATAGACAATCGTGTGTGCTGGCCCCCACTCTCAAGTCCTCAAACGCTTAATTTCTGCTGTGTCATTTGATCTTCCCCCAAACCGCGCACACTTTCTTGCAACCATCTCCACACCTTCCTCTCAGTTTCACCTTTTGCCGTCTTGTGGGGGACCACTCACAGCTTACCTCCCAAATTAAGCTGACTTCGCATTTCTTTAAGGATAAACTACTTCATTTACATTTTGGAATTTCTAATTAAAGGCATACAGTGTCTTGTCACGAGCTTATAAATGTTGACTATTACCAAGTTTGGCTTCTCATTGCTCCACCTGGAAAGCAATCAGTCCCTCCCTTCTATCTGCTCAGATCCAACTGCACCCCACAGAGGACTCAGCTCCACAGGGAAGCATTGCCAGACAGCTCACCTTAAACAATTTAGTTGAAAGCCTATCAGTGTAAAATAAATTATTTGAGAAAGTGGTGTTTTTCTTGCTCGTTTTGCTATTTTACCTACGAGTATACAGTCTTATGTTCCGTATTCTTCATGAGTTTAAAGGAGTAAAGCGGTTTGAGAGAAGATTCCCCACTTCTTCCTTCTTCCTTCATCCTGTGCCTCCTCCTCTTCCTCCTCTTCCTTTTCTTCTCCTCCTCCATCTCCTTCTCCTCCTCCATCTCTGTCTTCACCTTCATCTTCTTTGTGTCCTCCTCTCTCTTTTTAAATCTCACATTTATATTTAGCCAATCATTTCTCCTCTATTATTCAGAACAGCAAAATGTCCAAAACAACCTAAGTGCACTACACTAAGGATGGCTCGCTATATGATGGTTCCTTAAAGACAATATTTAAAGAACAAAGCTACACAAACTCAACAGTGCTTGGGAACCTACACTTTAAAACAAACTATAATTTTTAAACAATCATGCAATATTGTCAAACAACTTAAGCAGGAATAAATTTTCAAAATGATGTGAACATTCTGCAAAATAGGAAAATGAAAAACTATGACAATCTTTAAAGAAATTTAAAAGAATGAAAACATTTCTAGTCATAATGCCTATGTGATTAAAACAAGCGAATGGGATGTCCACTTCCACTAAAGCATTATTTTAACCAAATTACCATCTTAGTCAAGTTCTCATAAAATTGCTTTTTGTAAACTCATTTGTAGAGAAGGATTCTAGATTATGGTGATCTTTTATTTCTCTAATCGCTTGTGTCTTTACCATTTATTTGAAATTTAATAACATACCTTCTTGAATCATTATTTAACTTTTCACATTTTTGGCAAAGTGCTTGAGATCTCAGAGATGGGGGCCAGTCTCCACGTGTTCAGAAGCAAGCTCTGCCCCTTAGCTAGCTGAGTAAGGCAAGTTATTTACTCTATGCCAAATCTCCTCATCTATAAAGTAGTCATAATAGTATTCAGCATTGCATTGTTGCAAGGATTAAATGAGTTACTATGTATGAAAGCTCTCTACCTTCCTACGTGTATGCCCTCTACCCCACTAGACTTCTGGTTCCTAAATCCCCCTGTAAGAGTTGGAGCAATCCCGTAAACATGGAGTATTACTTGGCTAACCAATTCTTGATTGGTTAATACTTGGAGTGTTAACTAATAGTGTCACTGAGCTTCATTCACCTGAGCTCCTATCCTGTCACCAAACATAAATGGGTTGACTAGATGTGGCATCTGCTCATGAGATTCTCACAAGCCTAATCAGAGAGAGAATCCAAAACTTCTGAGGCAGCATGAAGAGACATCCTGGCCCCACACTTGGATCCATCCACTGTGCTTCCAAGATAAGCAGCGGTGTTCCTTCAAAACAAAACATAATGTCAGCACTGCCCTTCATTGTGGGGGACACAGGAGGAGCTGGGTGAAGTGTTCTGGGTCAGAGTGGGAATATAAGAATTTACTTTCCTAACTACATGCTGCTCTAAAGCCCCACGTGCATGGGTCATTCTTTGGTGATGACATTGACAGGAAGCTTGTATAACACATCACACTATCCTACAATATTTGGGGAGAGAAAGCCCTGAAATTGACTTACTCCATTAAACCCTAAGTATGTTGACCACCATAACAGCTTTCATTGCATATAGTCTGCGGGTTAATGACTTCGAGTTCTCTGAAGAACAGGGAAGATGGTGTGAATAATGCACAGCAACACCCAATTGATTCTGCAAAACTAACTCTGAATAAAATTCCATTTCCTCAAGTGGGCAGACCCTTCTCTCATTAAAAAAAGAAAAATTGGATTCTTCTACTTGGGAACCGGTTGCTTGTAGGTTAATGATGCCTCCCTGGTTATAACGTGTTTACCAAGCAAGGGGGTCTGCGGCGTGGGGAAGCCAGTGAGTGTTGTCACATGCAATCCCCAGGCTGCTGAGAGAGCAGCTGATTAAGAGTTTTATTTGTTTTCCTGCAGTCTTATGACTTATTTCTTAATGAAAACCCTTACTGTTTTCTCAGAAAAAACGGAGAATGACTCCAGTGTTTGAGATGGAATGAGGAAGCGTTTTTATGAGTATAAAGAAAACTCAAAGAATCATAAGCACAAAAGCAGCGAACCAAGCAGTGTTCTTCCCTCACACAGCAGCCAGATGGTGCCTTAGGCAAGTGCAAAGGATGCTGTCAGCACACACAGGTCCCACAGCTACAGCAGCTACACCTGAGATTGGGATCTTTGCACCGAGCAGAAAAAGCATCTTGCAGCATCAGGAGCAGCAGCAATATCATCAGCATCATCATTGTCGTCACCACCATCATCATTATCATCATCAGCAGCAGCATCATCATCATCATCACCACCATTAGCATCAGCAGCAACAGCAACATCAGCAGCAGCAGGATCACAATTAATGTCCTGCAGATTTTTGCAGCTTATTTACAAACTAGCATATAATAAGTCTAAAATAAATCAGTTCAAGTTAAGAATCTCAAAGAGTATTTCAAGGCAGATGATAGTTTGACGAGAGTCTTCCTTTTTCCCAAAATAAGGTCCTTTCATGTGTCATGGGAAATAATACTTTGGGGTTTTGGGGTTTTTTTCTTTTTGTTTTTGGGGTTGTTTTTGGTGCTTGAGTGCCTTTCTGGTGTATGGGATGGACCTCCTTGAAGGGGCTTTTGTTTTCAGATCCGTAGTCTTCAGTAAACCAGCTCACTCAGAGAAACCTAAAGCTTCACTCTGTTCCCATGAATAATATTGGAAGAGCCTATCTTTACCTCAAACCACATTCTCAGGGCTTGACTTAAGGATGCTAGAACAATTCTGGAACCATTTTCAATAAAGGAGACAATATATTTTTGCTTCTAAGGGACTTTGCCTCCAACGCTTACTTTGGGTGATTCTACAGCACTTCATGTGTCACTCATCTTACTTGATAGGATCTTCTCAAAGACAAACATGCCAGTAACCATGACTCATAGAATTAGAACCGAGATCCGAGACTCTCAACTAGAACAAGGTGACGATATCTATTCCTACTTGGGATGCTATTCCAAATAATCACCACCAGGTACAGGTACAGCCCTAAGAGATGGACGCTGGTCTTACCAGGTTGGACAATGTCCTAGGTTGGGCATTGCCATTATGGACCATGAGGACACTGGGGATCACAGGGCAGGGTTGTGGCATGCAGAGCGGAGCTTGGGGCAGAGGTTCTTTACCTGATGCTGCAGGGGAATTTCAATGTTTTAAACTCTGGAGTGGCTCTCCTAACGCCTACCAAGTGGATCATCAGCCTTGCTTCCAGTTAAAGTCACCTCGCCCAAAACACAAATGGAAACACTGAAAGATTCAAAGTAACAATTGGATCTGAATTCCTGAGCAAAGAAATGGACGTAGTTCCACTGATATTCTGAGAGCATCCTTCTGCGTTAGAGAACATGAAAAAAGAGGAATACATATCTCTTGACAACCATGGGCTTGATCATTCCACAGAATGCCTCAGTACTTCTCCCCTAAGATTGTAAAGTGAACGCCCAGGACAGTCACAGGATGGGTGAGAACTTCCAGAAGCTTCTCCCTTCCAACCCACCTCTTCACTCTGCCACATTTCCCCCAGGAAAAGCAAATTTTGTCATGAAAAAAAAATCATCTAGGAAACCCCCAATAACATAAGCTTAGATATCAGTACATGTATATCCTGCAGCACTTATGGCTCAGAACGAGCTCGAATAAAATACACAGCTTTGCAGGAAAGCAAGGACTCTGTGCCTGCAACTATTCACTAAAACCACTTTCCCCTCTCCCACCAGGATATGCAGGGCCACCATGTTCTTCCTTCTGGTTCACAGGGTCTGGCTTCATCCACGATCTAAAATTGAATTCCAGGACCCATCAGATCCGCCTCATTCCCAGATGCCAGGTTTAAAACTTAACTCATTTGAACACGTTGGAAGTATGAGAATTAGATATCCAAGGACACACACACACATACACCCATCCAGGATGGAAGAAAACCCAGCACTTTTTTGGCAACGCTTAGTGTATGGGTGCAAAATACACAAATGAACACAGAAGGACAAATTCTGTATGATTTCACTCCTACGAGGTGCCTAGAGTAGTTAGATTCATAGAGACAGAACGTGGAATAGTAGGTGTCAGGAGCTGGGGGAGGAAGGTGGAGACTTAGTGTTTGATGGGGACAGTTTCAGTTGATGAAGATCAAAAAAGTTCTGGAGATGGATGGTGGTGATGGTTGCACAACAGTGTGAATGTACTTAATACCACCGAACTGGACACTTAAAAATGGTTAAGATGGTAAATTTTACGTTATATACACCTTACTATGCCACACACACACACACACACACACGCACACACACACACACACACACAGAGTTGGCTCTGGTTTCCAGGCGTCATTGGAGAGGTGTCCTGCCTTTGCTTCTCATCGTCCTGCCCCGATCTCCCGTCGCAGGCTGCACGGCGCTCGCCACTCCCAAGAATATTTTCTGTTATATGTCTTCTTCTCCCAAACTGCTCAAGTTAATATTTTGTCTCAAGCATCCCTTCTTGTTAACCATGGAGCAAGGTTCTCGAGCAAGAACATAGAAGTCATTTTCTTTGGTGACTGGAAGAAACGCTTTCATCTGAAACTGGGTTGAAAGCCTTCTGATGACAATGAAAAGCCTGAGCTCAGAGGAGCTGGTAATTGGCAGCCTCCACCAGGTGAAACCCCAGGGCTCTGAAGGCTGACAGTGCATCATCATGAGTCTGATAATTAACTCTCTGAGGAGCACATCTCTCCTGGGGAAAGGGACACTCTCTCACTGCCAGGAGGAAGAAACAGGTATGATTTTCCGTCATCATCCCCTGGGGATCAGAGGTAAGCCTCACAATTAGGCAACCTGGGACATCAACACAATGCTTCTATATCAGAAACCTACTGGAGGGCAGGGGGATTTAAAACATGGCACCCCAATACTTCAAAAGTCACCAGAAACCTACGTCCATGTGGCGAGTTTTAAAACATGGAGCCTTATACTTCAAGGGTTGTCAGGAATCCATCTCCATGTGGGGAGATTAAAAAGATGGCACCCTAATACTTTAAGGGTGATCCAAAACTTATCTCCATGCGGGGAGTTATTAAAGACGCTAAACCGATACTTCAATGGTTGAATGATTACAAGCTTTAAGAATGTATCCTTCTTGGTGTAAAAAAATATTAATTCTCTTTTTCTATGTTGTGCAGAAAGAGGTAATCAGAATTACGTCGGAAACAAGCTAAGAGGAGCTGACTCAGGTTTAACACGAAAAAGGCTCTTTTCTTTCAAAAGCAGAAATGCTCTTTTGAGAAGGAAATTACTTTAGCTGTCCAACATCAAAGCAAGGTGGTTGTGATGAAAATATGTAGTCAACCACTTGAGTTGATGAAGCGGCATTTGGCTACCCCAAAGAATATGAAATTTGGGGGTAATCAACTGTTTTGGCATCCTTTTTCTAAAGGAGGAAGGAAGGAAATAGCCCATAGGTTCTACATCGGTCCTGCCTCTCACCTCTCCCTTTACTAGATGTCACACAGCTTCGCTACTCACAGTGGTCCAAGTGCCTACAATGTCAGCATGGCCCAGGAGCTGGTTAGGAAAGAAGACATCCTGGCCCCACTCAGACCTCCAAACTCCGAATCTTCATTTGGACCCAATTACTCGGTGATTCCATTGCAAGTTAAAGGTTGAGAAGTACTCAATCATTACAGAGCATTTTCTAAATCTGTGACATGGCGCCTTGGTCTAGACTAGCGGTTTTCAACCGATGGCAATTCTTCCCTAGTGAAGACACCTAGAGATGTCACGAGA